AGCCTCCTAGACTCCGTGGTTCCCGAGATATTAACTTACCCGTGAATAACTTCCACGGGGCCGTACCCGCGGGTACGGGGAAGCTGAATTTAAATTTGCGTGGTCACACGTGGGTGGGAAACGTTCCGCTAAATTTTCAGCTTCCTAGCTTTTGTGGTTCCCGAGTTGAAACTTGCGGAGAAGTTGCTGCGGACACACGCACACACACACACACAGACAATCCCATGACAATATGCGTTTTGTACTACTGTCACACAGCACAAAACGCATAAAAATGACACTTTTTCTGCACCAAATGAAGTACTGTTCTTCGTCCCTCTGAACATCATTTCACGTACAAATTCAGGTATCTTCTGTACCCAACCATCGACTGTTTTTGGCTGAGGAGAAATTGCTATTTTTTAGACAGATTGGAATAGAATGGGAAGATTCGAGTTTAATATTTCATGTGAAATAAGCTAATGCGCGGAGGGAATTAGGAGATAGTATTTTGGAACATGTTTTTATAAACACTGTGACATGTTGATATCTCATGTGCTGAGAATATTTAGGGATATTTGTCTCTGTGTTTCATCCCTTAGCTGTAAACACAGACAACTGAAAATGTGGTTAGGGATGGGAATCATCAGGTACAGATGGCAAGATTAGGTTGGAATTGATGGTATTTGGAAGAGGAGAGAGTTGCTTTTTTTTTTTTGCAGGTGAATATCAGTGGATTTCGAAGTTATCTGGATACAACAGTTACCGATTTTTCGCCTCGACACAACGTGGTGGTTGGTCGAAATGGAAGTGGAAAGAGCAACTTCTTTTTTGGTGAGCATTCCTCCTTAATTAATCCCCCTGCCCCTTAAGCGCTTTTTTCAGTTGTTATATTAATTTTGTAATGCTTACTCTCACAGTGAATAATTCTCACCCCTCCTCCCCCCCTCGGCCCCTTATGTTTAAAATTTTTTGCAGTGTTTTAATAATTCTTTTTTTACTGTAATGGAGGGGCCATAGAAAGCCGAACAAAAATTGGACGATCCAAGTAAGGCCAAAGAAGAGCGTGAAATTGTCAAATGGTTGTTTGCGGCCATTGATAGGTCGAAACATAGCTGCTGAAATAACGGCCCGTACGGCCAAAGAAAATTCGAAACGGTTCGATTCCTTAAGTTTTTTGTGTGGAAGGATAGAATAGATGGAGAATGGGCCGCAGTATCCTGTGGCAGGTCAGTATCTAGTGGACGAGGGACTGCTTAAAATCTCAGGGTGTCGTCCAGAAGATTCCGCTACGGGACACTCTGGACTTGTCAGTGTACATTTACAACTCTAGGTCGCTGCCAAGGGATAACTAAACCTGCAAAAAATAACAGACGACAATCTGGAAAATACTCGGAGATTCTGTGTCATTGATATAAATTTAGTTCCAAAAGTTCAAACCCAGAGCTCACATTACTTGCTATCAAGAGATAACGTCCCGGCAGTACCGTTGATTTCAGGATCCACGTATCGGCCCTACACTTGAACTTAACATCTCAAATATTTTAAGCTGTATTTTAACACAGGGGTACTTTGCCAGTCAATTCTGGTCGCTTAGAACCACTTTGGGGGACATCTCGCCGACACAGAAATATAGCAAGAATCTTTGATGTTTTCAGCAATACAGTTTGTGCTTTCGGATGAATTTAGCCACCTGAAAGCGGAGCAGCGGGAGAAGCTGATACATGAAGGCACTGGTGATCGTGTTGGAACAGCCAGTGTGGAAATAGTTTTTGATAACAGCGATCATCGAATAGTTGCGGTAATTTTGCCTTCCTTTACTGATTAATGAGATAAATTTTTATACTGTCTATTTTTTTCTTATTTTTTTGTTTTCTTCTGCCTGCTGAGCAAAATATTTTTTGCACTTTTCGGTTGTAATCGTCCCCTCTTTTCGAATTTCTTCGCCCTAATCTTATCCGCTTTTCCGTGGGAGCCCACATGGATTACAGCCATCGGTTCCAAGTAGAAAGCCGAGAAGCTGGGCTGGGTTGCGAAAAGGATCGCCTAAGTAATTCATTCACTGCTGTAAAATAAAATCTCCACCAAATTTTTTTAGAGTAACCTCAGGTAAAGGAGCCATCGAGAATCTCGTTGAGGAAGGGGGTTATTTTTGGCAGTTGTAGCTCACCACTCGAGCTGTTTCCAACTGGTTCCGTCTCAAAGTTTTACGTATGGAAGGATTTTTGATTTTTTGACAAAAAGTATTTATAACTCTGTCTTATCTTAAAAATATTCTCCTTCCTCACTCTCTCACTCTCTCTCCCACCCTCTCTCTCACTCTTACTCTTTCTCTTTATTACCCACTTATATTATTACTTCACCTATCCCATTCTAAGAAAATAGTTTAAATTTTAATCATATTCATACTAATTACCACAATCGTCGTACTGACGACGAGGTCCAATTGTGGTAATGGTAAGAAATGTATACAACTTAATGGACTGAAACATTTCTTACCATTAAAATTTCTTATTTTATTTGTCTTGTTTTCATTACTTTATCTTTGAGAAATATTTATAACAGTTATCATGAAATGAGCGGAAATCATCGTTTTTTTTCCCCCTCCTTCATCCTCTTTTTCGATATCCCGTGGCTTACTGTGGCTTATTCGCTGTGGTTTTTTAGTTCATCGTTGCTACTACTGCTGCTGCTGCCACTGCAACTTACATATCATAACTAAACTTACATGTTTTGCTCGAACTCACAGCTGTCTTTATGTTTGATGATCCATTTTTTGTTGTACTTACTCCTGCTGCGCTACTGCTGCTGCTACTACTGTTGCTGCTACTGCTGCCGCTATTGCTGCTGCTGCTACTGCTATCGCTGCTGCTGCTAGTGCTGTCGCTGTTGCCACTGCTGTCGCTGTTGCTGCTACTACTCTCGCAACTGCTGTCGCTGCTGCTACTGCTGTCGCTATTTGCTGCTGCTTTCCTGATAATGCTAATTTCTGTTCTTTCCTTCTTCGTTCGTCGAAAAGGAAAAGTAAAGTGTGCAATATTTTCGCCGTAGTACCTGCAATTCGATGCATTTACCAGTAATTTCTCCCCACTTTCCTTTTCCTAAAATCAAGTAAGCTTTGGGGTTGGTCGTAAAATTTTGCGTTGGTGCTTAGGAAACAGTGGGTGGCAATAATGCGCGCATCTTTTTGATTACGAATGTGGCATTATTTGATGGCTGAAGGTCCCCTTTTTTTCTCCTTTTGACGGACGCTGTGATGACATTGAAAAAAATGAGGTACAAGAAAATGAGTTCCATTTATGGCATTTTCCTCTGCCCGACTTACCAGGATTTATTCGTACACGTCATCCGCCATTGCAGCTACCTCCGAGCCCTTCTTTTTCCTTTCCTTTTACTTTTCATTTTCTTACATACTTTTATACTTTCCTTTTTTCCCATATATTTTCTTTTTCCCCTACTATTACTTTGATTTCTGAATTATATGTTTTTATCTTAATTCATATACCTTACTAAATTATTGTGTTACCACAATCGTCATACTGACAAGGTCCAATTGTGGCAACGGTAAGAAATGTATACGACTTAATGGACCGAAACATTTCTTACCTGTTACAAATATTTCTTTAGACCCTTTTCCCATTTTATTATCCTTTCCCTCATTTTCATTGTTTCCTTCTTCTCCTGATATTCTCTCTTTAAGCTTTTATGAATTAGAATTAGAAATAACAGATAGTGGTAATTCCTTAGACTTCTCAGACATTAAAGGTTGAAGAGAAAATATCAAGAAGGAAAGAAAACAAAGAAAACGAGAAAAAGGATAGTAAGATGGGAAAAGGGATTGAGGAAATATTTGTAATAGGTAAGAAATGTTTCGGCCCATTAAGTCGTTACCTTCAGCCTTTTAAATACAGGAAATATTAATACTACGCTTTATAATAAAACAATTTCAACTTCACCGGTTAATAGATACTCCTACTTAAACAGTAATATTCATCCTGATATAAAAAAAGTAATATCGTAATATTTGAAAAAAAGCAGTAAACAGTAATATTCACTGTACTTGAAGTATAAGTCGATTATTTGTTTCTGCAGGTTGAGGGAACTGAGGTACGAGTGGTGCGCCGCGTTAATGCCAAAAGAGATCAATATTTCATCGATTCAAAATCGTCCACACGTAGTGAGGTAAGCTCTGTTTGATGCCCTCCTTTACTCTTTCTTGGCTTTCTTTTTTCTTGACACAATGTTTCGGAAGTACTAAAAAAGCCAATCAGAATAAGTTTTCATTGATTTTTTTGAATTTTTATGTGTCAAATTTGATGGAATCGGCCGGTTTCTCGCGTTCCAATCCGTATTATATTGTTAAGCAAGGAAAAATCAACGAATTGGCCATATCGCCGGATTCTTATCGACTCAAATTATTGCGAGAAGTAGGGTATTTTTTTATATTTTTTGAGTTTCGAATACTTGGATTTTATTGGTAAAATTGGCTGATGCAAAAAAAAAATTATTTCAGGTGGCCGGAACTCGTGTTTACGATGAGCGAAAAGAGGAAAGCTTGAAAATTTTGCGTGAAACACGTATGTCTAAGTGTTCAAAGTTCGATTCTTGACATTTTGGCTGGTACTTTTTAAAAATCTATTTCAGAAGCGAAAAGTGAAAAAATTGAAACACTGCTCAAACACATCAAAGATCGCCTGAAAACTTTGGAAGACGAAAAAGAAGATTTAAAGGAGTACCAGAAATGGGATCAGATAAAGAGGTTAGCTTCCGGTGGTATTTTTTATGCGTTTTTTGCAGCTATGCAATGCAAAAACGCATATTGACGAGAGGCTGTCTCTGTGTCCGCGTGTCTGTGCGTCTGTGACACACTTTCGTCTCAAAGACCTATAAAAGATGTAGGGCTGAAATTTCGAGAACTTAGTCTATATGAACGTGCCGGCCCCAATCCCCAGAATTGGCGCCATTACCCGCGTGGTGCCCGCGTACGGGCCCGCCAAAGTTTTTTTGGGGTGAGTTCATAACTCGCGGATCTGAAAAGCTAAAGTGCTCAAATCCTAGGGGGATTTTCCCCGTCCAAGTAGGTGATAACTCAGGAGCCAGGGAAGCTAGAAAGCTGAAATTTTAAGGGGCTGTTTCCTGCCATTTC